TTTTGCGAGGCAAGACAATTCCCTTGGTTAAAGTGTTGTGGAAACACCACGGAATTGAGGAAGCAACTTGGAAGCGTGAATTAGAAGTCCGAGAGAAATATCCGGACTTGTTTGTTGATATCTAAACATGTATTGAGATTTTGACTATGATGATGACAAGTATAAGCATTATATATGTTTTATATTATGAGAACATTGTATATGATATGAGTATTTTGGAAACATGAATTCAGTAGAAACATTACATGTGTTTTGAGAATATGGGATATTGTGTGTAGAATCACTTTTGGAGGCATTGTATATGCTAGGTAAATTTTGTAAATGTGGATTAGACTTAACATTGTAAATATTTTGGAAAATTGTAAATTTCATGTTAATATGGGACTTGTGTATCGAGCCGATGAAAATAGATGACCGGAGAATGGGTCATGGCGATGGACTTGTGAGAATAACATTGTTATAAATGATCTAATGTTGATTTTGAACTTAATTTGTAATTTTGGGGACGAAATTCTTTAAGGGGGGAGGTTATATCGATCCCGGTTTTGACCCAACTCTTGTGGTATTCCGGACTCTGGTTTAATGCTTTCATATTGTTGTTTACCTCTTTTTTCCTTTGTATCTCTTTGAAGTTGGCCTTTGGGTTGTTGTGGTTGCGTTTGGAACAGGTTGGTCACTTAGTTTAAAACCTTGTGTTGCCCAGTATTTTGGTCTTCCGCTCAAGCAGGGTTTGCAAACACTCAGTACTTTGCACGTCTGCAAACTACTGGAGGAGTGTTTTTCACGCTCGAGCAGCGTTTCCTACACTCGAGTAGGTTAGCGCTCGAGCATACTTTTTTGTGCTCGAGTGGTTTGTCTGCTGTCTGCAAAGTTCTGAATGTGTGTATTCTGCGATCGAGCGGACAACTTTTGCGCTCGAGCAGGACAAAATGAAGTGTCTAACGCTCGAGCGTCAACCTCTCTGTTCCAGTGGACTGTGGATATATTAGATTGCGAAAGTGACATTTTATACCACTTTTTCATCCTTCTCTCTCTCTAAAACTTACTCTCTCTTTAAAATACACACTCTCTCTCTATATTTTGACCTAGATTTAGTGATTTCTCCACCTTACTCACTTTAATAAAAAGATAGAGCATCCCATGGGCTTCCATTTGATCTGAATAAAGTCAAGTTTGGGAGTTTTTGAGGTTTCTCCACTTCTCCTTTGAGCTTCCACACTTGAGGTAGGAATATTCTACACTTTGTTATGATCTTTAACTTAGTTATTTATTGTTATGTATAAATGGTGAGATTTGGGGTGTTTGGAGAAAACCTAGGGTTTTGGGTTCAAGTCTAGAAAAAGGGGTTTCTATGTGGGGTTACATAATTGATCATGGGGTTTGGTCATAAGCCTATCTTATGTATACATGGGTCCCGAAATCTTATGTATACATGGGTACCGATCTCGCGGACGAAATTTCTGTAAAATGGCAAGGTTGAAGTGCTTGTATGATAGTTATGTTGATTGAGAACCACTGAGTTGTAGTCTCGGTTGGGTTATTTGGAAAATTATACACTTGGTATGTGACTTGAATGAAATGAATTAACTTGAAATGAATAAATGGAAATGGATTGAGATGTGAGTATCAGTACTGAATGGTCATGGGAAGAATGTAATTTGGTCATAAATATTGAATGCTTATCTGACACTTATATCTTAGTTAAACCTCATATATTATATTAGACTATCTCTACTGGGTTTTGGCTCACCCTACTTAGGAAATCACTTTCAGGTACTGGTGACATGCTTCCTCTAATGACGTAGCTTGTGAGGACTTAAGATTGGTTTGGCATACCTCAAAAAAGCCAAAAACCCAAAAAGTTACTAAAAAGTTAAAAAGTTATCACTATTCACCAAAAATAAAATATAAAAAAAATAATTTTATAAAAAAAAAAGTACAACTCACATGTCACGTGAGTTATACTTTAGCTGCCCACTGTTTGTACGAAAGGAACAGGTGGAGAAGCAAACAAGACGGTGCTTTTTGGTTTGTGGGGGCCCATCACGGGTCCTGTTTTGATAATTTGAACCGTACAATTTGTAGAGCTTGTCAATTAATATATGCTTATAAAAAATCACGTTGATCGAATATTGCTAACTACATGATCAAATCAGTTTTGTATAAAAAAATGGATGGTGTTATAGTTAACAGTTGACAAAAAAACTAATCCGATCAGATAGCTATCGATAACGTGATTTTTTACAAGTATATAGCACTCAACGAGTTCTACACATTGAACGGTTCCGATTAACAAAACGGGACCTGTGGTGGGCCCCCACAGGCTGAACAGCACCATCCAATTCAATGCCCGAAAATGAGGCAAGCTTCTCCCATACACTACTCTGCCCACCGTACTACCTACTCTGCCCAAGCTTCTCTTATACACTAATTTATACAATTTTTTAATACACATTTTTTTCGTAAAAAGTCAAAAAGTTATCCCAAACAACCATCTTTCTTTCCTCAACTTTTTAGTCCAAAAAGTCAAAAAGTGCACTTATATAGAATACCCTAAACAACCCTTTAGTAACTGGAGGCTCCATTTTGTTGTTTAAATGTTTAGATGTTTATTCAAGCCACAAACTTTATATGTACAGAGCATATGACTCTCTTTTGTTGTAACCAAGTCATATCTTGGAAAGATGTAACCCCATAGGGCATTTATTTTGTTTCCATTAATTGATGTTACATGCTATAGATTCATGATGGACATTTACGAATGTATATTGCATGTATCAACTTTTGTAATACAAACTCTGATGAGTGGTAGCACATTGATTCTATTATGTTCTTTCCTCTTATGAGATGGTTTATTTGTATTATTTTGGGGGCGTGACAAAAGTCTATTAGATTTGGTCAAGTGCTCAACCTCATTTGTTTTTGGGCAAATTATCCACAAGTCCTATTTAAAAAGTGTATATTCTATTTAATCCTAAAACTTTTTAGATAGACCCAAAAGTCTTATGTCCATTTATCTTTTCTTGTTTCCCTGCACCTTGATTCTTCTCTTTATCTTTCTTTCTATGATATTGGTGACGACCACAACCACACATTCCTTCTTCTCTTTCTCTTTGTACTCTACAGTCACTGGCGACCACCATTGATTGGGGTTCACTGGCAACCACCATGTACCAACTCCTTACTTTGCACTCACCGATTGTGAAAGAAATGAGTTTCTGACGAAGAAGATTAGTAGATCTACTCAAATCTACATCAGATCTAAGTAGATCTATGTTAGATCTGGCTAGATCTACTAAAAAATAGTTGTCGGAGTAAAGCATCTCTCTATATCTATCTTTTTCCTTCGATCTCTCAGTTTTTTTTTTTTTTTTTTTTTTTTTTTTTTTTTGTACTACACACTTCTATTTTCCTCTTATAAGAAAAAAAAATTGAAGTTTTGAATAAGTTGTTTTCAAGTTTTAGTTACAGGTGGTGAAAACTATAAAATTTTACAGTTTCAATTTTCTTGGTGCTGAAATGAATTACTCTTTAAAACAATAAAATTTTGCAATTTCATAACTTTCTTTAGAACTGTAAAATATTGCAGTTTCATAACATGTTTTTCAGTTTGACTAATATGGATAAATGCTTAATAAAATCATATTTTGAAACTGTAATTTTCAGTTTCAAAGCATACTTTTCAGTTTGATCAATATTGGAAATTATTTGCTTAAACTCTACAAAAATTGAAAATAACATTTTTTTTTCCATTGTTGTTGTTTGTTGTTCTTAGGTTTTTCTTTTTCTTTCAGTTTATCAATAGTTAGCACATTTTTCTATGTTTTTTCGCTTTAATTTCTCAATTCATTCTTCTTCTTTTTTGGCAATATTCTGGACATTCCTATGAGTCCCCAGTGATATTCTTGACGTCTAGTGAATATTTTAGACATTCCGACGAATTTCAGTGACGCTTAGAACATTCTAGAGATACTTCTGCGAATTTTCGATGATATTCCAGCAACTTCCCAGAGATGTTGAACATTCCGGCGAGTCTCCAATGATCGTTTGACGAAAGTCCGGCGATAATGAGATGTAACAACGTCTTTAAATTTTTTTTTAAAAAAAAATAAGATTTTTTGGTAGCAATTAAAAATATATAGAACTAATTGGTGCAAGTGTTTTGTTTCGGGACTAAATAGATTTTGAGCTTTGTGTATGAGACTTATCAGTAAATTCCCCTTTGTTTTTTAGGCAATTAAGTGCTTAGACTCCTAGGCTATCACAATCCCGATTTAGATCATAAGGTCTTATAATTCTACGACTCCAATTAGACGAAACAGTTTGAGTCACATTAAAAATTTAAAATGATTACGATTTTAATCATAAAATGGTGTGGAATCGCACGGTTCTGATTTTCCTACAATCTCAATCCTACCAACTCTTTTTTTTCTTATTAAATTCATTTGCTATATATGGATGTTAATGTATATATCTATATAAACATCTGGATTAGTGTAATACTAATAACCTAACAAATCAATTGTTTTTTGGTCAATGCATTCATTCGGCCCATGTTTTTTGTAAGTTATTTTTCATAAGAATTTAGAAATAAAATGGATCATAGGTGAAGCTTATTTTTAAAAAGCAAATTTCAAGAAGACTGGAGTTTGAGTTGGTTGGACGTTAGAGCCAGATTATGTTAGGGCATCTCCAACGATGCATTACTTTTTTCACTAAATTTGAGCAAAAATTTAAGTAAAAACTCTTTTTGATATCGCCTGCTTCAATAGAGAGATTTGGCTTTTCATCAAACCACTGGTCAACCGGGCGGAGGACCGGGTGGCCGACCGGCCTGTCACAACCCAAACCCGGCCCTATAGGTTTAGCATCGTAACTAGCCAGTAATCTTGGGATTACCTAAGGCCTCTAAACAGAATAAACAAAATATAGGGGCTAGCGGAAGCAAATACAAACATACAACGTCCATAGAGCTGTGTAGACATACATGAGACAGAAAATTTAAATCTTATATTTACAACATATGTGATGTCATCAGAGTGTCAGTCTTATATCACCATAGATACAAATAAACCCAAAGAAACTGACCAAACAAACAAAAGGAATAAATAAATAAATAAAAACTTAAACTTGTATCATGTTCACAAGACTAGATCACAAAACATTTCGGAACCTCCTTTAAAGGCACACCAGTTGGCTGACTCAAAGGATCTCTACGTAAACCTCATTGAGCCTGGTCTCGTGCCTGATCACTTATATACATAAATAATACGGTAAGCGGGAGCCCCGTGAATAACAACAGAGTAAAGGGTTATGAATGATGTCCAATACATAATCAGAAATCAGAGTTCATAACAGAAACAGATTCAGATTCACATACTTATATAGATTTCATAAGCAGTTATATGTGGTACATTCATTAGTTATCAGATCAGATTGGTCATAAGACCCATATGCATAGTCGGCACTAACGACCATAAAGATCAATATCTTGTGCACAAATAGCCATGGTATTGTTACCCCTAGGCGAGGGCCACGTGAACATAGGCCTCAGTATTGTTACCCCCAAGCAAAGGCCACATGAACATAAGCCATGGTAATGTTACCCCCAGGCGAGGGCCACGTGCATATTGGCCACAACATTGTTACCCTCGAGCGATGGCCACGTGAACTAAAGATGCCACAAGTACATTTTAGAAAAATGGACATTCATTCATGATTCACAAAATAACATTTTATAAAACAAATCATATTTTATCCTTCATAAAACACTTATAATCAACATATTTTTACAAAGTTGTTACTCACAAATAACTCCAATAGCAGAAGAGTCAAAACAGGCGGATCAACAATCTATGGTGCGTGACCTATACAAACACATAACGGATACACATTGAAACACAAGCTCGAAAAACACATAAATTTTTTCTTTTTCTATCTTGGTGTGTTTCTAATCCTTATCCTCATTATTGTGTCTTAACTAAGGCTTAGGAATACCTAAGATGCAATGAGGATACCAACATCTAACTCGAAACACTTAGTCAAATTTTCAAAAACAGGGCAGCCCGCTCGAGCGCAACTTCTGTCGCTCAAGCGGTCGGCAAAGTCTTCAAAAGTACGAGTTGATTGATTTTTTTGGTTGACAAGCGCTCGACCGTCGCTCGACCGCAAGACAAGGTAAACAAGGCCTTCGCTCGAGCGTAACTTCCCACACTTAAACGGTTTTCAAAGGTTTGTAAAATTTTTGGGAGCTTTCATTTTACACTCGAGCGCAACTTCTATTGCTTGAGGGAAGGGCCAAAAACAAAGGTGGTCGCTTGAGGGCAAGTTTTGCCGCTTAAGCCAACCCCCAAACTCTACAAAAGTACTGGGAGCTTGCATTCTCCGCTTGAGCGCAGACTCCACCGCTTGAGCAGAATGTGCAAATTCTGAAATTTTCAGATTACTAATACAAGTTAAAAATCCATTTTCAAAGCATCAAAACACATCCTTTTGGGCTAAAATCTTGAGAAAACATGTGTAAACTTGTAAAACTTTGTGAATTCAAAATCATTTCGTAAAATCATGCCCAAAAGCAGGTGAATTATGGTAAATTCAAGCTCAATACTCATAATACAAATATGCATGTAATTTCTTTAAATTAAAACCCTTCAAATCATGCTCAAACAAGGTAAATTGATGGAAAACATGATGAAATCTCAAAACTAAGTTGAAAACATGACATGCATGGAAGAATTACTATGAAATGCACATGCATGCTCTAATCTTCTTCTTTCCTGCTTCATTAGTTCATTCATGCATTAATCTTTCATTATCTTTTGAATCCACAATTTGAGTGAGTCAACTACATAACTTAAGGGTTGGATTTCTTATCTACAAATCTCAATTCCTTGAGTTCTTGAGTGATTCTTTCCAATTTCTCAAATTCTAACTAAGTTCAAGTTAATTCCTTCAAATTCTCTAGCAATCTCCCCAGTTGAGCTTGATTTCTTTCTTCTCTCTCTCTCTCCAACGATTGTAGGCTCAAAGATGAGGGAATGAAGAAGTCTAAAATGAACTAGTGGAGTCCAATTATCTTTATATAGGCTAGTTAAATCAAATATAATTAAAGATAGATAATTAAGGTTAAGTCTAATTAAATATAATCTAATTATTTTGTTCTGAATTAAATTCCAATTCAACCTATCATAAAATTCTAAAAATGCTAATTAGCTTGTATTCTCAGTCAATTTCATATTCTGTGGCTGATAAGGCCTTCAATTCGCATAAAGAAACACAAACACAAACAGATCTTTCTACGACAGACAGATATAAATGCACATAATATATAACACATGCAATTAATGTAGAATTTTCATCTTAATTACGTTTTAGCAGTCTTAATCAAGGATCATAGGCTAATCACAGATCAAGGTTGTTACATGGCCAGCCGTTCGGCCAATGTAAAATTTACACCAAGTGACAGGTTATCCGGGAGGTGGACCGCCTTTCACAAAAATTTTCCTTGAGGTGGTCATTCGAGAGGACATCCAGGGGGACATCCGGTGATGAATATATAACAGTAATGAGCAGTGATTTAATAAAAGACACAAAGTATCCTCAGTTTAGTGAAATATTTTTAATTTGATATCTGTTTGATAAAATTACGAAAATACAAAAAAAGATATTTTTTTTATCAAATTTAAATTTAATAATGAATTTAGTATAACATTAGAGATGGCCATAGGAAGTGGTTTAGGCACAAGTTATTCCTATTATATATATATATATATATATATATATGAAAAATTATAGAATAGAAGATGAAAATTCTAGGTAGGCAGATATTATTAGGCGGCGTTGAAATTTGTGGTGCAATGGAAGATGTGTGAAGACAAAGTAGCACTATTGTTGAAGTAATAACGAGTAGTTACTATTTGTTGAAAAGGAAGGAGAAATTCTTGGACGGTGTGTTAGGTGGGGGCTAAAATTTAGGTGGGGGCTTAAAATCTAGGGCAAAGCAAGCATTATTCTTGCAAGTCTTGTTTGGACACCTTTTCTTCTCTGCCAAATCAAGCAATAAATTAGTAGTTCTAGACTAGTAGTCTACTGAAAAAAGGCAAGATTCATAGTTGTAGTTGGATTAGTGTTATACAGATAGTATGAATAAAATGATCATACATAATAATTTATCTTGTTATAAAAGGTTTATTTAAAAGTACAAGATTCATTTTATTCACATAATTTGCATATTTATCTCTATCAATTATTACGAAAATAAATTATGTATAAAAATTTTGATGGTATATCATTTTCCTTGCATCACTCATTCAAATGTATCTAGCCCATGCAACTTCCAATTACCCAATTCAAGAAAAATTTCTTGGTGATCGCTTTTACCGTTGCACGTGGTTCTATTACGTTGTGTTTAGTTGGGAGATTTGAAAAGGGATTTGGAAAGAAAAAGGAAAAAGGTGTGTGAAACTAGGTGAAATATATGAATGTTTTATTCACATTTCACCTACCTTTTCTATTTTTCTTTCCAAATCCCTCCCCAAATCCCCCAACCAAACACATGAATCTTTAGTCAACAAATTTTATTTATCTAGATGCTTGTTTTCTTTCTAAACGATACATTTCACAGATTAAAGTACTGAATCACTACCATTATTCACACTACTTGTTGATAACACAAGTTTTTCATCAATTTACCATGAAAGTAAACAAAACACTATCTTCGACTTCATTAAAATAAATAAATAAATTATAAGCTATATAAATCATATTTCTATAATATTTGACAGTGTTTTGATTTCTGATAACTCTGTTTCAGAAAATCTGTGTTGCCAAATACATGCCAGGAAGGGGCAAAAACAAAAAACAACAAATCAAAACAATATTTTCTTTTCTACTGTATAATGTTGTGAGGCTACATCAACTTTTTTTTCCATTTTTTTTTTTTTTTTCCACTTGTTGTGCATGATTAAGCCCCTGGCCTAGGGTTCACGTCATCAAGACTAAAAAAAGTCTCAAACCACCCATAATTCACAGGGCAGAAACAGCAAAGCATTGGCCCACATTACTTTTGAAGAAAGAAAACATGGAAAACCAGTGCCCTTGTGCCAATCCTAATCTCTAGATCCACAAAAACCCATCTCAGCCAACTAGTTGCAGCATCAATTATTTCCCTAATTAAAAGAAATAATTAACAGGCATATGTGCATATATACCAATGGGGAAAAAAAATGCCAAATTTATATAGAAAAATCATACATAATTGCGTTGTCGTGACACTTTTGCAATTATAAACTACAATAATGAGCTAACAACTGAACATAAACGGATTGCATCACTCTATATGAATTTTTTGCAAAAAAACGAGTTAGCACATAATTAGAACACAAAAAAGTGCGCAGATTTATTCTAAGCGATTAACACCATATTCCAAAATGATCTCAGCCACACAATGCACTTTTTTTATACTTTTTCTATGTTTTATTTATATGCATCTATTTGGTTTTGGTTTTCAAAAAATAATTTTTAGAAAATTTTATTTTTTTATTTTTCTTATTTTAATATTTTCTATGAATTTTTTAAATATTTTAAGTATTTTTTAAAAAATTTTAAACATACCTAATATAAATATATTTAAAAAATATAATATTTGTGAAAAAAAATCTTTAAAAAATTCAGTAAATACCAAAAAATACAAAAAAAAATAGTAGATTTTTCGTATTTTTCTGTATTTCTTACCTTTTTAAAATATTTTTTCACAAATATTTTACTATTTAGATATATATAAGTAAGGTGAATCTAAAAAAAAAAAAAAAAAAAAATTACTTAAAATTTTAAAAATATTCTGTTGCTGTATTGTTTGCTTGCTGGGTGTATAAGGTAGAGGTGCTGCTGGTGTGTGCTGCCGATGTATTGGTGCACTTGTTCTATTTTTTTGTTCTTTCTTTTGTTGGTTGCTTTGATTGGTTTCTCACCAATCTGGGTCAAGTGCTAGCAAATAATTTTGCTTCTTTTACGGTGCCAATCTAGTTGAGATTGTTGAGGTTAGCTATGATGCTTTATACACTTCCTTGCTTGGTTGATGTTTTTTGCATGTTTTTTGCTTTTTTCATCAATACAGCTTTATTTTTGAGGATTAAAAAAAATTAAAAATATTCAATAAAAATAAAATAAAAACTCAATTTAAAAAAAAATAAATTCAGAAAACTAAAACAAAACGAACTGAATTTTATTTTGTTGAGTCTTACTATAACTACAAAGTAAAGCTAAATACTTATGGTAAAATATGATGTCACTATAATTTTTTGAGATATCAAAATTATGTGACAGATTGATGAGGTTGGGTTGAGGTGCTGCTGGTGTGTGCTGCTGATATGAGCTGCTGATGTTTGGGTGCACTTGTTCTGTTTTTTTGTTCTTTCTTTTGTTGGTTGCTTTGATTGGTTTCTCACCAATCTGGGTCAAGTGCTAGCAAATAATTTTGCTTCTTTTGTGGTGCCAACCTAGTTGGGGTTATTGAGGTTGGTTATGATACTTTGTGTATTTTCCTCCTTTGTTGATGTTTTTTGCATGTTTATTGTTTTTTTCATCAATAAAGCTTTATTTTTGCGGATCAAATTTTTTTTTAAATATTCACTAAAAATAAAAAAATTCAACTTTTAAAAATTTGAATTAAAAAAACTGAAACAAAATGAACTGAATTTTATTTTGTTGAGTAAGTGCAAAGTAAAGCTACATATTTATGGTAAAATATGATGTCACCGTAACTTTTTGAGAAATCAAAATTATGTGACGGACTGATGAGGTTGGGTTGAGGGGTACTTACAGGGACATGGGAGTCTCTGGCACTTCTCTTGGGATCAGCGGCGGAGAAGACAGTGTAAACAAGGACGGAGGTTCTGATCATCTCAGCGCCGAGTCCAGTGCCTTTGTTGTACCCTGGGGCGAGCATGTTGGCTCCGCCTTTGTGTGTTTCGTAGGACGAACTCTGGAATAACTTCACAAGCCCAACACCGCATATGGCCCCCGCGCACTGTGCCACCATGTACATCACCGCTCTTATCAGCGACACCTTCCGCGCCAAGAACAGCCCGAATGTCACCCCGGGTTAATGTGACCCCCTGCCCCATTTCACCAAACAAAACAAATAAATTTGTTAAATTTCCAAGTTTTTATGTTTGTTCCATTGATGATCAAGCTTTATTATATGCCTTGGGATCCAAATAAATTCAATTAGTTATAATTACTTACAAATCAGAGTAGTCTGAGATAAATAGGAGAAGACATAAACTAAAATTGAACCAAGACATTCTTTTTTGATAATTAGGTGTCTTAACTAACTTGTGTGCATCTCAACTAATTTTAAGAACCTGAAGTTAACGACCGGATGAATCTCCAATTACCCTTAGGATGACTGAAACTTGAAACCTTAGATCATTTTCTCAATCTTTATTGCACAGTTAACCTCTTGGTGTTGTGAAGATTTCAATTGATGTGAATACAAGATGAAGCTATGTATACGTTTTTCTCAATTCTAAAAAGATCACCCAAAATATATATATAATCTAAATACTTGATTGGAAAAAATCAATGAATAGCCCATCTCGAAACTCCTTCACATTTTAATCTTTACACTAAATCAATCTCCCTTTGCAACTATCCTTTTTTCACCATCTCACTCCTACTCTGCCTTCTTGTCCATCAACTAGCACTTCGTTTAAAATCATAGATTTAAATAAGAATTTGTGGTGAAAAATTATAAAGGAATAGAAAATTTGACATAAATTTAGCTTCTGTTTTTATGATTTTTTTTTTCATCTCTTTTCTTTTCACTCCACAAATTCTTACTCAAATCCATACTCTACAAATTCTTACTCAAATTCATAATCCAAATGCAGACTAAAAGTTCCAAATATGACAAAATTGCATAGCCTATAGCGTGTGAATCGGCAGCTAGTTTGACCCCAAAAACAAAATAAAAATTATGGAGAGACAATATATATACACAACACAAAATGAATTTGGCAAATACTATACTGGTGATGAAAACAGAGTACTCTGTTTTTTGGGATATTGCTGCCTATTAGGCATCGCTAATAGTGTATCAATTTTTTCACTAAATTTAAGTAAAAATTTGAATAAAAACTTCCTTTGATATTAAGTGCTCAACGAAGGGTTTTGTAATTTTATCAAACCACCAGTCGATCTAGAGAACGACCGACCAATCAACCCGCCAGCGTAAATTTTTTACAAATTTTTTCCTCTGGGACATATGGTAAAAATCTAACAATAATGAATAATAATTTGATAAAAGGTATTGATCCTTAGTGTGATGAAAGAAAATTGAAATACGTATTTGATAAAACTGTTAAAAAAAACTATTTTTCACCAAATTTAAATTTAATGACGATTTTGAGTATCCATTCGAGATGATCTTGTGGAACAGTACAACTTCAACACTAAATGCTTTTAAAAAAAACCCACTAGAAATGCCGACGGTGGCAGTAGACGAGGACGAAGATGATGCCGCCGAAGGACCAGGCGATGCCGAGAATGCCAACGCCGCCACATTCGTCGGTGGCGGACCGGCTCTTGTAGCCAAACATTGTGAGAATAGTAATGTAAAGGAAGAGTAGAGTGGCTATGACCTTTGCAATCAGGGATCTGTAAAACGACCAACTTCCCAGCTCCTTCGGGTCTATCAGCGGCGCCGACGGTGGATCCTCGTAGTCCTTGGCAGAGAATGTTCCCTCCTCCATCACTTCCACTCCTTTTGCCATTTTGGCTGGACTTTCTGGAGAGAGAAACAATATGGGTGGTTTCGAGAGAGAGAGAGAGAGAGAGAGGTTGTGTTGTGATGACAGTTTGGTGGTGAGAGATGGGAGGAGAGTGAGATGGGTGGAGGTTAGGAGTGAGAGATGGGAGGAGAGTGAGATGGGTGGAGGTTAGGAGTGAGCAGCGGATATATCGATCTGCTAAAATCGATCGAACTGAACCGATTAGCTACATTTTTTACGGATACGTGATGATGAACGGATGGTTGCGGATTGATTTTCTCCAATCCGTCAATCTGGTGGACGGATAGCGGATTTGAGATTCCTTTGGCCGCAACCAAACCGCCAAACCGCGAACACCCCTAGTAATTTATAAAACTTTGTGTTTTCAGTTTGTTTAAATATTCTATTTACGTTTTCAATTGAAAAAGAGTTTAAATATTCTGTTGAAAAAACGTTTTCAACCTGAATATCTTTTTTTAATTGAAAAAAATAAACGTATTATTTATCTATATTTTTTGGTTTTTAAATCTATTTCTAAAAATAATAAATAGAAAATATGATATATGCTGGTTGGTTTTTATTTTCAAAAATAGATATAGATATAACAATACAGAGACATACAATCTCTACTGCTGCTCCGTTCATGGTTTTAGTGGTTTGAATTGTTTTTATATTTTAAGAACCATATATTGTAATACTTTATGTGGATGAAGCATGCTGTGATTGTAGTATGTGGATGAGGCATGCAGTGATTGTGATATTATAAAGTTTCAAACTTTCTTGCTTTGGATGAGGCATGTAGTGATTGCAATATTTTTTTAAGTCATTAATTGTAATACTTTCTTCTTTTCTTTTTTTTTTTTGAGGAAGGGCACAAGTTGAATTATGTTGAAAATTTATAAAATTTTAAACTGCCAAACCGATTCGCATCCATCTGCCAAACCGCCAATCCGCTCAATCCACATCCGCTAGATTGATTGACGAATGGATGCGGATTGATTTTCTCCAATCCGCCAATCTAGCGGACGAATGGCGGATTGGAGATTCCGTAGCCACAACCGACCCGCGCCCACCCCTAGTGGGGGTATATATGGACCAAGGAGGGGGGTAGTATTTTACATTTGTTGGAATTATAATTATTAATATTTATAAAATTTATCATTAATTTATAATTAATTTTTCAATAGTACTAGTTGATTTAATATTTTCTTTTTTAAAAATTACTCATAATTTGAATGTATCATGTAAATTTAAATTTGATGTAATGTTAAGAACAAAATCAAGTTTTTTTCATCACAAGTCGGATTAAAATTTGAATAAATTTTCTTATCACCATATACAAAAATATACATCCATACACAATATAATATATAAATTCTATATATATGCGAAAAATAATAATAATAAATGCTAGCCATTTTTGTGCAAATTAAAAGGAGAATGCTAGTATCCCTATAGTCTTATTTTAATATAGCTCTTATTATGATGTGGATTATATTGTAGATAAATTTGATTCACATATTTTAAACACTTTATTAAATATTGTTTTATAACTCCGTGGCGGCATGGTTGAATTTAATTACTAGTGGCATACAAACAAAATTTATAAATAATAAATTTATCGGCAAATTACACTTTACATTTTTATATTTTGCATTGGCGTTTGGCAATAGTTTTTTTTGATTTTTTTGAGTCAAAATTTACAAAATGACAAAATAGGTTAAAATAGTCAACAAGACAAAATGTCACATCAAACCCATAATCATTTTATTTTTTTTCTCATAAACATCATATCCAATTACAAAAAAATTATACTATCTTCCTGAACACAAAAAAATTTAACCTACTAAAGTAAACAAAAACTAAAATAGTAACTTTCCAAACACCCACTTTGTCTCCTAACTTTTTAATTGCCTTAGTTAATCTCTTATACTTCGAGTCAACTTACAATTAGTTCCAGTTGAATAACACAGGCCAGCTCTACTTTTTCCAAAATCCAAAGCAAGCTTTTAATATATGACCTCTTATTAGGGCTGGGCGTAGGGTTATCCGACCCGCTCAAACCGCCCTATCCGATTCAAACCGCACACGTATAGGCGGTTTCGCAAACACATTAGGATATGGTACGGTTTGGATTTTATCTAATTTTCGGGTTGTGAGCGGGTTGCGGGTTTAAACCGCACCCACCCAACCCGCCTGCATAAACCTCCTTTTCTTTTCTTTTTTTCTTCCTTCAAATCTTACCGCTCAATTCATATCACTTCATCTATAGACTATAAAAAACAAACAAAAAAAACCCTAATCTTAATCTATCTCTCAAACTCTAAAACACGAACTCACTCTCTCATCTCATCAGTCTGTCTCTCACTCTCGCATTTTTCATCTGCACTGCACCGATCGATTCTCTCTCATCTCAAGATTGACCGATCAGCCTCACTCTCTCATCGCACCGATCGACTTCATAGGTAAGTCCCTCTCTCAGTCTCAGTCTCTCTCTCTCTCTCTCCCTGATCTTTAATTTTTTTTGCAACATATCAGATCTCTCTCTCTCTATTCTGTCTCCCTTACTGTCTCATCTCATTAGTCTCTCACTCTCTGGTTTTGCATCTGCACCGATTGACTCTCTCTCATCGCAAGATCAACCTCACAAGTAAGCTTCTCTCTGTCTCTCTCTCTCTCTCTCCCTGATCTTTGATTTTTTTTTGTAACATATCAGACCTCTCTCTCTGATCTGTCTCCCTCACCCTCTCATCTCATCAGATCTGTTTATTTTATGCAATCAGATTTTTTTTTTTTTTTGGTAGCAACGGATCTGTCTGTGAGAAGTGGAAATTGAATGTGTGTTTGTTTGGAGAAACATTAGGTTGAAAAATTCAGTTGTGTTTGATTGAGTGGAACATTGATAGCATATTTACCTTAACAGTTGATAATGCTAGTTCTAATAATCTTACCATTCAATATTTGAAAACGATAACCAAAGATTGGAAGGGGACTATTCTGCAACATGAGTTTATTCATATATGTTGTTGTGCACATATTCTTAATCTCGTTGTGAGTGATGGGTTAAAAGAAATGGACAATTCTATTGCCAACATTAGACTTGCGGTGAGATATGTGAGGTCTTCTTCTCATAGGCATGATGTTTTTAAAAAATGTGCGGCCACACTCAAACTTGATTCAAAAGCTCTTGTATGCCTAGATGTACCAACTAGGTGGAACTCTACCTATTTGATGTTAGAGGCTACCGAAAAGTATGAGAAAGCTTTTAACCGATTAAAGTTTGTGGATTCCAATTGTGAACCTTATTTCAAGGATGTTGATGGTGACATAAGGAGAAGTCCGAATAAGTTGGATTGGAAAAAATGTAGAATTTTTTTGAGGTTTCTAAAATTATTTTATCTTGCAACTAAGAAATTTTTGGGGTCTCTCTTTGTTATTTCCAATGTTTTTTACAAAGAAATGTTTGTTATTGAAAGCAAAATTAACCAATTAATTTTGGAGGAGGATGATACTTTGAGCACAATGGCAAAGACTATGAAGCAAAAGTTTAGCAAGTATTGGGGGGATGAAAATAAGATCAATTTGTTATTGTATGTTGCGGTTGTTCTTGATCCCACCAAAAAAATGACAGAGTTGGAGTTTTGTTTTTCAAATTTATTTCTTGGAGATAATAAGATGGTGGAAGATATGGTAGACAAAGTTAAGAGTTGTTTGAGTCGTTTGTATATCCATTATGTCACACTTTATCCTTCAAATGAGAAACTTCCAAATGTGAGTGAAGTTGTGAATATGGTGGAAGGTGATGATGATGATGATCCCTATTCTTTGGTTAACTCCCAATTTAATTCCTATTTGGAGGGGCGATGCACTAGTGGATCTAAGTCGGAATTGGAGCAATATTTATCTGAGGTTAAACATTTTGCAAAGAATCAAACATTTGAGATTTTGGATTACTGGAAGGTGAATGCAACCAAATATAGGGTGTTGTCACAACTTGCAAGGGATGTGTTAGCCATGCCTATTTCTACCGTTGCATCGGAGTTGGCTTTTAGTACTGGCAGGAGGGGAGAGGGGGGGCGTATTCTTAACCCATTTCGTAGTTCACTCTCGCCTTCTATGGTTAAAGCTCTTGTATGTACTCAAAATTGGTTTTGAAGCAAACTTCCAATTTCTCTTTGAAAGGCGATGGATGATGTGGAGGAATTTGAGCAATATGACTCGGGTAATATGAGAATTTATTTATCTTAATTTTTATTTGTATTGTTCATTTTCTAATGTAAGTTTTATTAATCTTCTCTTGTTAGGTACTTTGGAGTCAAGCTTATCTTCAAGTTCAACCTATAATATTGCCGCTATAATTGATCTCTAATATCTATTTCCTCATTGGTAATTTTTTCATATACTCAACACATTTTCTTACTATGTTCAGATGCTATATATAGACATTTGTTTATCTTTTCATTACTTATTCATTTACACTTTTTGTCTCAAAGGAATTATGAAGATTGAAAATTAAAATTTATATTTTTTCAGTTTGTTTTTGTGCAGGGTTTATCAACCAAATGCATGGAATTAGAATTGGAATTTTTGAAAGTTGGATTGGATGTGATTCATGATGAAGTTTGATATCGTAGAAATGTTTATATTTTATTTCATGGGTTTGAATTGAATGAAGTTTGACAACAA